GCTGTCCTGGAACTCACTATGTAGACCAGGCTGGCCTTAAACTCACAGATCTGCCTGCCTCTGCCAAGTGCTGGGACTAAAGGCCTGCGCCACCACACCCAGCCCTAATTTCTCTTCTTTACAGTGTCTTCTCAGCTAGTCTAAACTGCAGAGCCTCAGTCTGCAAAGCAATCACAGTGCCCTCCTCCCACCTTCCCACTCCCTCTCCTTGCCCCTGAAACTTAACAATGATGTGTTGAGATCACACGGGGACCCAGGGTCTACCCTAGTCCAGTGGGTTCCCAAGATTGAGCCCTTTGCTACCACCTAGGAACACCTCTAACCTGTGGTTTGGAGTTTAGAAAACCAAGTCCTGTGTCTAAACAACATGAGACCTAGCTCTGTGCTCCCCCGCCCCCAGGACAATATAAGTCGCTTCTCTAGGACTCAGTTTCTCCATGTGTCAATGTGAAATTGTTCTATGGGGCGGTTCAGACACCTCCAGAACCCTCCCATGCCCCGCAAGGCGCTAACCGGGCCTTGGTAATAATTTCCTTCTGTTTTATGTGGTCAATGGCTTCCCGGGCCTTGTCTTCCAAAGTTTTCCCAAACTCCTTCAGCTTATCAGGTATGCTCTCCAATGTGCTGGAGACTTCTGAGGATGCCTGGGCCGGGGCTGGGCCTGCGAGGAGGTAGAGAGGCAAACACGTTAGCCCGCCCCTTTTAAGGCAGGGAAGACAGACCAGCCAATCCCAGAGCGGAGTGCCTATGATGTTATCGGTAACTAGGGCTCCTCTGGGCAGACTCGCTACCTCTTGTACCGACCTTGACAGAAAAGTTGAGAATCACCTTGCAGGATGAGGTGGGAGGCTCTCAGGCGGTGACGGGAACAGGGACACAAAAGGGGGCCTCACAGTTCTCGCTCGAGTCCTCTAAGACTTGAGGGCAGACGCATGGCCAGCTTCCCACTTCCAAATCTTACCTTCCAAAACCATGGCCAGGACCACAACCAGGACCGGAAGGGAGATGAACAACCTCATGGTGGCTGGAGGGACACCTGGAGACAGACAGGGGTCGGGGACCTCACTGGCACCACTCCCCCTCCCCCACCATGGTCCCACCACTCCAATTCTTTAGCTCCCTCCCATGCACCAACCTGAATCTGAGGATCCGTCAGGAGGAGTCTGGGGTGGGAGGTTTCTGTACTCTAGTTTATCGGGTTGGGGAGGGGGCGGGGCAGGCTGATCTCCCTCCCCCGGAGCCTCCCCCCACCAGCCTCCCTTTTCCTCTGTGCCCACCCACTCTTAACTGCTGAGTCATCTCTCCAGACCCCATTTAGCCTTTTTTTTCTTTTTAAATGAGTTTCTTGTTAAGTGAAAACACAACATTGACCTTCTGTACTCCCTAAGCGGAAGGCCAAGGTTATTTCCACAATCTCATCTGTCTGGTTGCACAGCCTTGGCTGGCCTCAAGCTTACAGCAATCCTCCTGCCTCTGCCTCCCCAGTTCCTGCTGAGAATACAGGCCTGCATCACTATAGATAGTCCACTTTCTTTTGCCTCACTGGTAGATGCTGGGGGCCCATCACTTTAGGCCCAAAGCTTGTCATTGGTCAGCACCATCACTCCAAGACCCCATTGATTCTTGCCTTGATCTCACTGTTCACTTGGGGGATAGTGTCACCCTCTCCCTGGGGCTGGCCTCCCTCGGGGGTCTCAGAAACTAGCCCCCCCAAAGTCTCATCCCCAGTTACACTGTGTCTCCAGGACAGCGCTTTCTGGGCCCTTCCCTTTACCAGGAGCTTCAGCTCCCACTCTTTCTCCAGGACCCTGGTGTCTGGTTGCCAATTCCCTTCACTTCTAACCCTTTGCAACTTGAAGCATCTGCCCCTTTTCGCATCTGGGCCTCCTTTGATGCCCTGTGGGGTCTTTTTTTTTTTTTGTCTTTTTTGGTCTTTTTTTGAGACAGGGTCTCCTAGTAGCCCCAGCTGGCCTGGAACTCACTATGTAGACAAGGCTGGCCTTGAACTCACAGAGATTTACCTGCCTCTGCAGGGAGTGCTGGGATTAAAGGCGTGCGCCACTATGCCCAGAGTCCTGTGGGGTCTTAATCGGACATCCCCTCATTGCTCCTCTTTCAGGAGTGCCTCAACTAGCCAAAACTGCAGACTCAGCTTGCAAAGCAACTACAGTGTCCCCCTCCAACCCTCCCATCCCCTCCAACTCTCCCATCCCCTCTCCCTGCCCCTGAAGACTATTTGCTCTTGTTCAGCTCTCCCTCCCCTCCTGGCCCCAAGCCCGCACCCCCACCCCCTCCATCCACCACATCCTTTCCCTAAGGCTGGAGTCCAAGGCCTTTCCCTCCCCCATGGACTGTCTTTGACCGCCAGTGACCTTCCTGGCAGCTGGTGACTGTGGGCCCCAGACTCTAGGTTGGCTGGCTTGGTGCCCCTGAAACCTAGGAGTCAGCTCTAGGGGGTGGAAAGGGGGCAGGGGAGATGGTTGTGAAAGGGGCGGAACAGACCTGACCCTGGCTGGGTTGCAACATCTCTGGGGCCAACTCACAGCTTCTAATCCCTGTGGGCGCCAGGCCTGACCCTCTTGCTTCCTGAACTGAGCCCAGCACAATCCTCAGGCATTCATCTGAATAAATAACAGCTCCCCCCACCCCACCCCTGTGTTTCCAATACCATCCTCCCCTCAGCTACAGGGGTTACCCCATTTTGGAGGAACTGAGACAGAGCTAAGATCATTCAATGATTTGGTGAGGCTTAAAATGCCCCCACCTCTTAGACATCAAGATGTCTCTGTGAGCCTTAGTGGGGTCAGCCAAGCATGCTATAGCTCCTTTTGATAATCCTGTTTTCTGATCTCCTATGTCCCTGCCCCACCTCTAGGTCTGATTGGGTTATATAGTGAGCTTGAAGATAACCTGGGCTACATGAGCCCCTGACTAAAAAACAACAAAAAGCCTAAAATGACAAAAAGGGCTGAAGATGCAGCTTAGTCGGTTGACTATTTACTTAGCATGCAGGAAGGTCTGACTTCCAGCCCTAGCACCACATAAAACTGAGGGGTGATGCTGCATGCCTCTAATCTCAGCACTGAGGGGGTGGAGGCAGGAGGATCCGGAGTTCAAGGTCATCCTTGGCTACATAGTGAGTTGGAGAATAACTTGGAACATGAGACCATGTCTCAAAACAAAACAAAAGAAAACAAAAGAAAACAAAACTCCTCACTAGAGAACTCAAAATTGTGCTCTCAGCTGGGCCTACTGACACAGACCTGTAATTTCAGCATTTGGGAAGCCAAGGCAGGAGGATTAAGAGTTTAAGACCAGCCTTGCTCAAATAATAAACAAAAAATTCAGGCCTTCATTGAGAGAAATGACTGATATGCCTTTCTGTTTCCATCCACTGACATATAGAGAAGTCCAGGTGCTGCAGGCGTGTCCCTAGTTCCTGGGCATGCAGTGTGGCTGACTAGGCCCACTGGCCCTTCTCAATCGGCCCCGCGAATCATTCCTGGGAGTGGTGGCCACTTCCAGATGGGTGCTGAGATCCATGCCCAGAAAAGCTCTAGGCTCAGGGTGTGCCAGAAGCAGTGGGGGACTGAGGCCCTGGCCAGATCCAGGAGACACAGCCCAAGCCCTGGCCTATCCCTGTTGGTGGAAACCCTGCCTGGTTCCTGAGAACTGAGGGGGTGGGAAGGAAAGCCAGCTAGGGGCTCTCCTGGCTTCCACCCTGAGCCCTCTGAGTGCCAGCCTCCAACTGATAGACTCTCATAGGGATGTGAAGTGGCTTCTTTGGGTCCAGCCTGTACTCCACCTCTGTGGGTTTGCTGGGAGCGACAGTACAAATGGAGGAAGAGTAGGATTGAAACAGGATGCAGGAGGCTGGGAGCCAAGCCCAGAGGTCCAGCGAACTTCAGAGTAAAAATACTAAGGGTCTAGGAGCCACTGAGGTGGAAGGGAAGAAATCACCAAGACTCAGGGCAAGAAAGAAACTGTAGCAGGAAGAGATACCAGAAGTGCAGGAAAACAGGAAGCCTTAAAGGGGCAGAGACAAAGTCAGGAGAGGGAAGGAAGGGGAATCAGATAAGACTACAGAAGAGGAGGGAGAGGCCAGGAGGGAGAAGTCAACACTTGGCTCACTTGGCTCAGCAGGCAGGGCTCTGGTCTCAGGCAGTTTGGGTCACAGCATCACTATGCAGCAGGAGTTAAGGTGGGAAAACTAGGGCTGGAGAGAGGGCTCAGTGTTTGAGAGCACTGGCTATTCTTGCACAGGACCCAGGTTTGGTTGCCAACACCCACAACTGCCTAAAACTCCGTCTCTAGGAGTTGCAATGTCCTCTTCCGGATTCTGCAGGCACCTGCGCATATATAGCACATACATACATACATAAATAAAAAAGGGTGGCACACACATTTTCCCAGTTTCCTGGAGAGGTTGAGGCAGGAGGATGCAAATATGCAATGCCAGCCTAGATTAAGGCAATTTAGTTGAGCTACTGTCTCAGGAAAAAAAAAGGGGGCGGGGTGAGATATAGATAAGTGGTAGAGCCCCTGCCTAGAATCCCCCAGTGAGGGGCTGGGGTGTGGCTCAGTGGTAGAGCCCCTGCCTAGAATCCCTCAGTGATGGGCCGGGGTATGGCTCAGTGGTAGAGCACCTGCCTAGAATCCCCCAGTGAGGGGCTGGGGTGTGGCTCAGTGGTAGAGAGCTTGACTAGCATGTGTTAGCTTCAATCTTTAGTATTCCAAAAACCCCGAGAAAACAAATCAGAGCTGAAACAAAATCAGCCGATGACTGTGTGACAGATTGTGTGGCCATTGTGAGGCAGAAAAGAGAAACAGAGGCTGAAGCTATGTGGAATCACACTGGAGACCACTTGGAGACCACAGGAGGTGCTTGGCAAATCTTTATTAAGCAAGGGCCACCAGGGGACCAGGATGGTTTTGGGGACAGGGCCACCTGCTGGCTGAGGGTAGCAAGGCAGGTGAGGGGGGCACTCATTGACTCTCGATGGGTGCCAGGGTGGGGTGTTTGGGGTTGGCGGCCACAGAGGCCTGGATCTTCTCCACCAGGTTTGCCCACTGGCGCTGCATATCTTCCACCAGTGGCTCGAACCAACCCTTGAGGCGGGCCTGGAAAACCTCCGCCTGCACTCGCATCTGCTGGGCCTGCTCCTCCACCTTGGCACGCACTTCCTCCATTTGCTCACGCATCTCCTCCAGGCGGTCTCGGGCCTGGTTGCCCATCTCCTCCAGACGCCCTCGGATCCGGGCACCCAAGGCCTGGGCGCGATCCCGCAGCGGCTGGGTGGCCACAGTGCCTAGGCTGGCAGTGCGCTGGCGGCCCTGCTCCACCAGTGGCCCAAGGCGCTCACGGATGGCGCTTACACCGCGCTCGGCGCCCTCATGCGCCCCAGCCTTATACACTGCCAGGCGCTTCTGCAGATCCTCCGCATCCCTCATCAGGCGCTTGCGCAGTTTGCGCAGGTGCGTGGCGAAGCGTGCTCGCAGCTCCTCTGTGCTTTGGCCCAGCATCGTTTGCAGCTCGTTGTGGTACAGCACCAGCCTGTTGCGCACATCCTCCATGTCTGCTCCGAGCCGTGCCTGGGCCGCCTGCACCTCCTTGGTCAGGCGGGCCCGCGTCTCCTCGGCCATTGGGCCCAGCTGTTCCTCCAGCTCCGCCTTGTAAGCCTTCACCTCTGTCATGGTGTCTTCCATCAGCACCCTGCACGTGCAGAGGAAATGCGAGGGAGATGAGGATGGTGACAGAGGGACCCCAAAGGGGGGGGGAAGGTGAGAGAGATACTCAAGTGGGGTGCAGCGGAGTCCCAAAAATCGGGAGATGGAGGCAGGGGGATTACCGAGAGTTCCAAGCCAAGTTGGAGGTAGCTTGGGCTACAAGACCCTGTCTCAAAAAACCATAAATAAGTGCCAACCTGGGCTACACAGTAATGGAGAGAGGGTAGATGCCCAGACCGCGATAAAGTAAGATGGGAGGAAGGGACAGGAGACCCAGACAGTGGGTACGCAGCTGCTTGCCAGGCGGGTGGGTGAAAGGCCAGGGGCTAGGCACTCACGTCAGTTCCTGGGTGACTTGTGTGCTCTGCAGTTCCTCTTGGACCTGGTCAGACAGCGTCTGCACCCAGCGCAGGTAATCCCAGAAGCGGCCCAGCGCCTGCTCCCAGGGTTTGTTGCTCGGCCATCCAACCCGGTCTGTCACCTCAGGCTCCAGCTCCGGCTCTCCTTCCGCCAGACATCCTGTGCAGGTCAAGTTCAAGGCTGGGTCAAGGCCCACGGCTCAGATAGAGGTCCAAAAGCTATCCTTGGTCTTTGGAGCCACGGTGGGCCTGGAGAGGGTGGAGTCTTTTGAATCACTTGAGAAGCATTTATTGTCTTAATGTGTCCCATTGCGGGTAGACACTAGGCAGGTACTGCATTGAGCAACAGATACCTCCTTTTAATTTTTTTTTAAGCTTTATTTTGTGTGTGTGGGGGTAGGGGGTGTCTCTTCTTCCACGAGTGGGTTCCCGCGATCAAACTCAGGTTGTCAGGCTTGATGGCATACGCCTTTACCAACCCGAGCCATTTCGTCGGCCCATTTTGTGGACGGGGGATATCAAGTACTACAAAGTAAGTAAAACAGTTACTCAGGGCCAGTGACTTTCCCAGAGACCTCGGACCTGCCCCTCCCTCTCACTCAGGCAGCGGAAGAGGGACCCAGGGTTTGAATGGGATTGAGCAAAGGAGGCGGGGTTAACAGGAGCAAGCCCCGCCCCTATACCTGCCAGCAACGAGACCGCCAGCACCGCCCACAGAACCTTCATCGTTCCGCCTGCGATTGGCCAATCTGCGGAGGGAGAAATTGTCTCAACAGCCAGGGAGAAC